TTGATTAATTAATTAGTTATAACTTTTAGTTTTAATTTTTTGATCAGGCGTCAACTGATCGAATTTAATTGATCTATTTTGTGTGATCATGTTATAATAATTCTCTAATTATTTATTTTTATATGCTTAATTAATGATGTTGAATTAGATGATTTTTAGCTTATTTTATGTAATAATATGATAGTAGATTAAGTTAGAGGTTAATAATATGGGGAAAGCCTTGGTTAGAAGTTGAATTAATAATAATAATAATAATGATAAATAAATAATTAAGTTATTTTTTCCTAATTCCATCTTAGTCTCTACTATCCTCACTTTCTCTCAACTCCTATCTCTAAACTTTCATAATTTTCCGTACAAACTCTAAATAGAACTAAAAACTCTTACAAAAATATTTCTGCTCACCGAAAATTTTGCAACATCAATAACTCTTCCGCCCTATTTCCAATATTATTCTGAAAGTACTTTTTGAAGTTGTAATTGAAAGTCTCTTTTGGTTTTGATTAAAATATAGGTAAAGACTTTTCTTCATGCAATTCTAAATTAAATTTGAGTTTGGAATCGGTTAAATATTTGTATCCATATTTATATTTTATTGAAATATATAATAATTAAGGAATTAAAATTGTGTAACATAAACCTTTATATTTCTTGATTTAAGATCTATTATAGTATACATAACAAATTTTTAAAGGAAAAGTTATGTTGGAGTGTATTGCAATGTAATTCTAGGCATAAAGTAGTAGAAATATATGAATTAAAAAGTATGTTGCAGTGGCAATGTTATAGTTTCAGGCTAAAATGAAAAAGAGCTGTATACACATGACAATACTGCATAAGATGACTATTTATTTTTATTTAATATTCATACACATGTTACTAATTTTAACATGAATAGTTCTTTTATCCAATGTAGTATATACAGAAACTTTTAATTTGACTAAATTTAATCTTGTGTCTTAAATTTAGTTAAAGGAGAATAAAGATTTTCATTATTTTGTGATTGCTTAAATGGTGGGATTATAATTTTATTGTTCATTATGCATAACATGTCATAAGCATGGAATGAGTGTTTTAGTGGCGAGCAAAGATCTTGTGTGATAAGTGGCGGGTAAAGTTCCTGTGTGATTGTCTTAGTGACAGGTAAAGATCTTCGTCTGATTGCCTTTATCGCAGATAGTCTTTGTGACAGTTTATATCTGGATCATTTAGATTTAAGAGCATGCATATTTTGCATATAACTCTTTGTGGTTGTGATTGTTCTTAATCTTGATTTAATTACTTCATGTGCATTCTATATTGGCTACTGTTGTAAATGTACCTTAAAACCTTTGTTGATGAAGAGAAAGAAAACATATTTTAGAGATTGCATTTACCGCAAAAATCGGACGAAAAGTAAAAAAAATCGGTCGGTGAATAGTGTTCATCTATACGGTGAATAGTATAGTCCGTACGGATGAATAGTGACGTCCGTACGATGAATAGTATTTTCGAGTTTTTGGGCTTTTTTTTCGATTCGATCCATGGATCCATGTGATTTTGGACTTTGTTTGTTGAGTATTTGCTATTATAAATATGTATCTCTTATATGTTTGGTGTGTGATAATCTTAGAGTTTTCATCAACAAGGGAGACAAAGGGTTTAAAGGTATAGCATAGGGTTTCAGCCATACACAAAGAAAACCTTGGACTAAACCTTGGGTTTGAGTGATTCATATATTGAGAGTTTGAGAGGTAGAGAAACACTTGGGTAGAAAATATGGTTGTTCTTGAACGCATTCAGGGTTGTTCTTGGGAACCTGAATGCGAAGACTATTTTCTTGTAACTCATATGTAATCTCTTGTAACAACTTTCTGAGTATAGTGAATTGGAGAGCTGCTCTCTCCCCCAGAGTAGATGTTTGATCGAACTGGAGTTTTTTCTTGCCTTATTCTGTTATATTATCTGCGTACGGATTATTATTGTTGAAGACCATTTATTTTGGTTGCTATTGTTCTTTGCCTTACAAATTAATATTGAATTTTGTCGTAATTCACAACCAGATTCACAACAGTTACTATTAGATATTAACAACTTGGTGGATTTTTATTTCTTTCATTTCTCTTGGACATGATATGTGTATTTATATTTGTCTGATTTTTAGCTCTTGTTTAGTTTAGTTTGACATGGTTGTGGTTAATGGAAACTAACCCTTATAATAATATTTTACGTGTAAGTGTGGAGTTTCAAAGTGATTGATGTCTATTTGATGCGTGATTGTGGGGAAGAAGAGTTTTCTAAAAAAAATGTTTTAGAAGTTTCTAAATTGTCTGCATTACATTTTAAGTTATTTATTTATTTTCCTTTGAATGGACTAGAAATGCGGTGATTTTCCGCTTATGAATTTGAATTGTCACCGAATTTGATTAATTTCAAAATCCTCTTATTTTATTTAAATAAGTAATTTTAATAAATTATGAGTCATGTTTTGGACGAAAATCTAGGGCGTTACAAGGTGAAGAAGAAGATTGTTTGTGCTTGAACCGATTAAGTTAGACACTTTGGAAATACAATAACTAATAGAGTTGAATGTGCTCATGATACATTGAATAATTGGTTGGGAAATAGTAAATGTGATTTATGTAGAGGTTGAGACTCCGTGAATCAAATGATCCAAAATCACGTAACGAGATACATACACCATTTGATCTCAATATTACAGTATTAGATAACAAATTAATAGATCTTAAAAGCTGATGATATCACGAAACTGCACATCATAGAGCACCTGAGAAAGATTGCCTATTCAGAAACCACATATTTGAAACCACCCACAGAACTGGTAAAAACAAAGGGTGCTCATAAGAAGGTCAAATCAACGTCGAGTGACAATTCAATAATGCGGGCTCGTTCCTATTTTCTAGCACGTTGACACACATTTTTTGAATTGTCCAATTTTAAAATCTCAAAAAGTGTTATCAAAGGTACTCGCATTAGAGAATCATCTCCTTCACAACCTTTACCAAAAATCATACACATCGAAGAAATGACAATTTTATTGCACAAATACATTGAATTGATTGTGGATGTTAAGGTTGATGATAATTGCGGTTATCACATTGTTTCAACTTTGCTAAGTAAAGGAGAAGAGCATGATACATTTTCCTGCCAACATCTTATCAAAGTGTTGATGGCGCATAAAGAGTCATACACAAATCTATACGGAAAAATAAACATTTTGATGAAATTCATGAATATCTTATTCCTCGTGTTAACGGTCCAACATCGGAGACAAAATGAATGTGTTTCCATAAAATTTGTCATATTATTGCAAGTGCGTATAACATAGTGTGTATCGATCTGACAAGATATGATTTTTTGGAAACCTTTTTTCCACTTCAAAGTGGCCCGTCTCAAAATCTATCCGGATACAATATGTGTATTGGATGACTTTTAAAGTCGCAACACTTTGTTCAAGTTAACTTAAAACTAGGATGTCATATACCACAAACATCGTCGGAGTGGACAACTCATTCTACAAAAGAAGCTAAAAATTGTCTGAATAAATATTTGGATCAGATGGAAGAGTTCACGAACTTGAACGAGATTGAAAGAGAATAAAATCAGTAAAAGTTAAATGCAGAACCACTCATAAATATAAATGTAGGCGTTGATACATCTTTTGATGCATTTTAGTTTCTATCATACAATGTATTTAGGCGGTGACTCATTTTTTGTTTGGATGTTGGATTGTTATTTTCAACAATGTAATCTAGATACATTTTGAATTGTTTTAATGTATATATAACATTACTTGTATAAATATTAGACTCTGATATTTCTATGTCAAAAAATAAGTTTTGTTTGTATTTTCTATGTCAAAAAACAAGTTATATTTGTGACAGGTTCTGCCTGTGAGGGGTGAATCAGAAATTTAAACTCCGGACGGACCCCACTTTATATGCGTTAAAAGAGTGATTCCAGCTTTCAATATTTGGAATATCCATTGTGACAAGATTGAGTTTCTAAGGTCCATAATGATCTAAAACTTGTATAAATAGGAGTGTGCCTCATGTTTTTAACAAAAACACCACATAATTTCTCGATAATCGTATTTCACATTTGTCTACTTCAACGCTGATATGTCCCCTCTTAAATTCAAGTCTTGTCGATCTAAAATCCACTCTAGCAAATCTACTGTGATACCTAAACAATCATAAGGTTGTGAAACTATTATCATTCACCATCGATTGACAACGAATGAAAGATACAACTCAACAAATTTGAGTTGAAAACAAATGAAGATTTAACGTTTATATGAAGTACATTTTATTGTTACGAAACAAAGAGTCCAATTGAGGTAGATGCCACATTTACGAGATCGACCGGCAATATTATAAACACGTTAAAACATCCTCAACTATCTCTTGATGATAAAATACAATGTTAATTTTAGATTAATAAAAATCTATGTAATATTAAGTATTTTAAATATGTCAAATAAAAAATTTATGTTAAGTTACGTTATTCTTCCCATTTTTATAATTGAATCTAGTTTGTTGTAGGTGAGAAGATTTCGGATTTTAATATCTAACAATCACCTAAACATTATTTCTCATTTAGTATGTTAGTTTGTCATAATAGAAAACATTCCGGATTGTATATCCAGACTAACCTTTAAACGATATGAAATTGAGTTTGACAATGAATTTGATAGGAGTGAATCCAAATTTAAAAATCCAGACTTTTGTTTTATCTTTAATTTGACAAAAATATGAGAGAATTCAACATTTTGGATGCCTTTGGAAAATAAAAGTATTAAATTTTCACAGTGGTGGGTGCGTGGGAAAAACAATACCCAAAAAGTATTAGTTACGTCAATGTTTTGACCTTCACTTAAAGGTTGGGCGTGACTGAAATGCTAAATTAACAGATATTGATCAGAGAAGAAGTTTCTTTTGAACGCATATTGTCTTTGCAAAAATTTGATACCTACTTATCATATCACATATTTCACAATGTCATACATTATCCTTAGAACTAGACACCTCAGTATCTTGCTTCTCCTGTTCGCTCACAGCAATAGGTTTCTCAGATGGCTCCCCTCTTGCGGAATCAGGTTCCTTTTTAAGCTCCGACTCAAACTCCTTTGCTGCCTACAAGATTCACAAAATCTGGTAAATAATAATATAAGCAATGAGAATTTTTTTTATCAGTTTGTATAGATGACACCATAGGAGTCACTGGTTCACATGAAAGTCAGTGCCAGAATCCAAATTATTTGGCTGCTCGAGTGCATAAGTGGTAATGTGGATAACATTCATGAACATTAGGGCATCACATCATACCGTCAAAATAAAATCGGAGGGTTACAACTGTAAACAAAGGTAAGGTAAAAACTAGATCATTCCCAAGCCTAACCTAAGCTTTAAGTTAAACTTGAACAACTGGGTCGGTGGAATTCTAAAGACGCTGCTTAAGGTAAAAGAAACACCAAACAAATCTTATAATAACTATTAGTATTTCAAACAACAACTTCAAATATCAATTGACATAGCTCAGAGTGAGTACTCATTTTGAACTTAATGACAAGTATCTGTAGAAGCTCTTATGAACTAGAAGCTAGTCTCTACATTGGACTTCTGGTTTTCTCTTGCATATTTCTCAGTTAAGTTCATGTGAAACAGGAAGAGATTAGACCATACACAAACTTGTAACAAACTTAAATTTTTTTGAGTTATATGTTCTCCATGCTTGAGTTTCTGTATCAGGAAGAGAGAGAGAAACAAGCAAAAAGATAAATGTTACTCATTAAGAAATAAGAACTACACATATTTGAGTTTTCAGCAAAGACAACACATTTTTCATATCCCAAGCTCTATTACAATAACATTTCTTGGTCTTACTCTTAAAATATCCCAAGCTCAATTCTAATAACAAATTTATCTCCCTCAAGATGTTAGTGGTCTTGGTTTTTAAAATTTGAGAGTTTCAAACAAGGCTTACATTTTAAACGTGCTTTGGCAATTAGTGGCTAATCCTGAAAAGTTGTGGGTACAGTACAGGTTACGAGAGCGAGGTATAATCGTGGCACTAATTCTATCCCAAATATAGAATTTAAGAGCTATAGAGTTTGCATATTAGGAGAGCTATTGTAAGCAATTGGCTCAGTGTTTTTGCAATCATCTCTTGGACTTCTAAGTTTGGCCATGATTTCTGAAAAGATTGATGGCTTCCTATTGTCTCTAGTTTGAATGATATTTGTTCACAAAAAAATTCCTCAAGACCAAGCAAGTTTTCCCGTTTCTTTCTATGTGAATGATGATCAATGAAAATGGGGGAATATTGTCCCTTTTTGTTCCTGCTGATGTCTGTCAAATTATTCATAGTATAATTCTCCTAATATTCATGATTTTGCAGATATTCCTAAAAGGAAGCTTTTTTTTTTTTTTTTTTTTTTTTAATAGTCAATACTCTACTAAAACTGTTTATAACTTATTGAGCATTGAAAAAATCTGGAGTTGGAAAGTGTCCTAATAGACTTTTGACCCATGAGGAAAGATTTAAAAGAAAGATGACTATGGATCCTAACTGTCCAAGAAGCCGAAATCAACCTGAGTCTATCATGCACATTCTTAGACATTGTGAAGTTGCTTGCTATGGATTTCAGGAATAAAACTATTAAGCAGGAATGTTGGAATAAATTCCTAAGTCTTGGTATGGAAGATTGGCTTAAGTGGAACCACAATTCCAATGATATTGGTGAAGGAAATGCTGTTTGGTTTACTATTTTCACAGTTTCTCCCGATGCTATCGAGCGAGATCGAACTCTTGTTATTTTCTCTCTCAATAAACACATTAAAGATGATCTATGTCACAACATTTGTCTTCAAGCTCAATTAATTGAGAAAGATATTAACAATTGTCCTGGTTTAAAATGAAAAGCTCTAGATATTAACAATTTCCTAATCTCCAATTTGTAATTATTCAATTGACCATGTCTCTGAGAGAAAAATATGCTCAAGAACAAACACTAGATAAACATAGTAACTAGAATGAATTTCTGAAACAAAATGTTACTACAACTAAGAAACTCCACTCGCAATCTATGAAGCACGGACTTTGGAAACACGACACTAACAACACATGAACACCGGTAATAATTAGAAAATTTGAATAAATCAAAGTATCAGTGTCAGTTTCGCACCTTTTGTTTTACATAGGTGTCGGTGCTACAGAACTCGCAATTCATTCAAATAGTCACTGCCTAGGATTTTAAAAACAGTCGCAGTTGCGTCAGTAAAGGTGCACTGAGACTGATTGCTTTTTTTTTCATGGATTTTCGTTGTTGCTCTTGCTAATTCTATTCCGATTTTACTGTTACAATTTTTTGCATTCGGATTAACATACTGATTTGCCTTCTTCCGTCCCTTTCATTAGTCCAATGACCCCCTTTTTATTTAGAAAGTGTTGAAAACAACTAAGTATTTTGCAATTTACATACGAATTAGTATTTATTTCTAAGAAGTATCATTCCTTATAGGGAATCTTTCGCGGTACAAATTAACCTCCTTAACATATAATGGTCAACAATGGTATCGGTGTCGACACCTGCCAATACCGTTTTATCGCGGCCGGTCTGAAGGTTTTTTAAAACCTTATGTATCATTTAAGGTCCAAGTACTTTTTCATTTTAAACAAAACATTCATACAATATGAGTTATGATTCCAAGAAAGCATGCAATTAAAACCAATGAGTTTGAAGATAGAAAAGGGGAAGGAACCTGTTGGAAGCTTTTGACAGTTTTACCGATGCTGCGACCAACTTCAGGCAATTTCTTGGGTCCAAAAACGATGGCGGCAACACCGGCGATAACGACGAGTTCGGGTACACCTAATCCGAAAAGTGCGTTGCAAGTGAAACCATTGTTTCTTCTGAATTGCTTACGTGGAGTAATCGAAACCCTTGAAGTGGAATATAGAGAGGAAGAGGAAGAGAAAGCGAGGTGTTTATAGGGTTGTTGTTGTCTTGAAATTGGGGATGGAATTGAAATTGAAGAAGAAAACGAAACGCAATTCATTATCGTCATCGCTTCTACCTTGCTTCACTTCTCACTGCGTTTAGATTTTTATTTTTATTTTCTAAAATAAAACATATTTATTTTAAGAATTTAATGGGGTTGGTCCATGACCATGGGCCTCTATGTGATTTTTTTTAGAGTTTTTTCATTTCAAAATATTATTTATTTTGTTATCTAAATCAAGTAAAAAAATTGCAATTTATTTCTAACAATTTAATAATGCACGTGTTCCATTTTGGAATCAGAAATAGAGGGATATGCGGTAGTTGCGGTGAAATAGAGCTTCTGATACGGCGAAGAGAGTGTACCTACAAGATTAATATTCCAACGCTAAAGTTAATATGTGAAAGAGTAGAGAGTATTTAAATTCTGTTTGAAACTTGTTACATGAAATGACGTCATTCCTTATATATATATATATATATATATATATATATATATATATATATATATATATATATATATATATATATATATATATATATATATATATATATATATATATATATATATATATATATATATATATATATATATATATATATATATATATATATATATATATATATATATATATATATATATATATATATATAAAAGATAGGGATAACAATCTCTTGCTATCTTTCTGTCATGGAATGTTGAGGACCATTGGATGTGCTCGAGGCGTAAATCTCATGCAGCAAGGTATAAGATATCTCTTCAGCAGGGAGAGAATTTCCAAGGGCATAACCACGTAGTCAGCTGGCAAGTATTGGCCTAGAGCGTCCTATCTCAGGGTGGTCGATCTGGGAGGAATTGATCGGCACATAACAGTTGCTTCCAAGTCCCCGTGCTTGAATATCAAGGTGAGAGTTTGGAGAATTTATCCCTCAGCTCTCAATCACCCTTTTTCGTGCTTCTGCTGTTGGAACATCGAGCATCTATTTAAAGGTGTCATTATTAACATTCTTGGGAATTAAAACACTTGAGTGTTACGTGCGAGAGGCCAATAGTTGATAGGACACAGTTCCTTCCATAATGCCAGAACATAAGTATAGGAAGAACTAGAGTCATTATCCTTTAGACCATTCTTTCCTCTTTTTTCTTAAGCAGTTACCTCTTTTACCCTTTGAAACTTTGTTTTCATGTATTCGATAATGTTAGTGTGATATGGCTAAAAAACCATGGAAATTGTGGACGGGAACCAGACGGATCCAACATCTCCATGGGAAGGATCTATATACTCTTCCACTTTGTCTCTTTTCACCAAATAGGGTAGTCCGGATAAGTATTTTCTTGAAGTGGGGGAACCATCGCATTGGGTTTCCACCACTCATGCTGAAGACAATATAATATGCAGCGAGTATGATGGATGCACCATTCCTCTTTTTGAGTGACTCTTCTAAATCCTGGGTGTTTGTTTGCCTTTTATTGATTTTGAGATATGTGTTCTTAACTGCTTGATGGTGGCTCCTTCGCAACTTCACCCATTGAGTTATACGTTTGTAATGGCTTACCAATAGTGTTGTGAATACCTGAAGGGGAATAACCCATTCATCCCCTTATTCTTTCATCTCTTTTGCTGCCACCGTGATATTATGGTCTAGATGAGAGGACAAGAGTTGTTTTTCTGGTACCGATGATATGAGTCTTTGATGACTTTCTCGAATTGTCGCCTTTTGCAAACCAAATCTTATTAGTCACTCTCCTCCATCCCCTAACTCATGCGACCATTTGCGAACCCGAGCCAGAGGTAGGGTGTAATTGCAAACCTCTGTTTCCTCATTGCTGGTCGGCGAAACATTTACTTATGGAAAACAACAACTATGTTTATATAGAGGAAGATTTTTCTGATGAGGAATCTTATCAGAAGAAGAGACAAGTAGATTTTGTTAATCGCCTGGGTTATCTTAAAGGCAGAGTTCCCTTGACTAAGACCGATAAGAAACGTTTAAAGTGTTTGATAGATGTTTCATTGCTAATAGGAGCTTGCTCTCACAAGAATCGTTAAATTGCCTCTGGTAAGTTCGAAACTTTCTTTATTCCTTTGTTTTTGTTTTTCTCCCTTTTTGGATGCATATCTGGATAACAATCATGTTTTCGTGTAAACAGCCACCTGGTGCTGAAGTGGGGTACACAGTCACCCGGTGCTGTGGTAGGCACTTCTCTTTCTTCAAAATCCCATTGGAATGTTGCTCCTTTGAATGGCCCTCAGGGTTTGCGAATGATGCCAACTTAGATGAATTTTATGAAAGTGAAGAATTGTTACTTATGGCTCAAAAGGAAGACACAAAACCAACAATCAAGTGTGGTTTCTTGAATCATGATGTAGTAATCATATGGTTGGAACAAAAGAATGAATATTCAATTTTGATGAAAGATTTTGTAAATCTGTCAAGTTAGAGGATGATTCCAATGAGAAAGGGATATTTGAAGCTCCACATGAACGAAATCACTCAAATAATCACTGATGTGTATTACTTGCCAAGCTTGAAGAATAATCTTCTAAGTGTTGGTAAATTAATGTAAAAAGGAACTAACAATAGTGTTCAAAGATGGATGTTGCAAAGTACATCATGCTGATAGAGGAATCATCACGGGCACAAAGATCTCATCCAATAGAATGTTTGTTGTGCTTTCACCTCTTGTTATTCCCATGTGTATTAAGATTTATTTAGATAATGTCACACGCTTGTGGCATTGCAAATATGACCATATGAGCTTTAAAGGCCTTGACATACTCATCAAGAAAAAGATGGTGAAGGGAATGCCTAGTTTAAAGGACCTGAAGAAGACCTGTTCAAATTGCTTGATGGTAAAGAGACATAGAGAAGCCATACCATAATTGGCCACACGATGAGCCAAAGAAAATCTTAAGTTAATCCACTCAGATATGTGTGGACCTATCATGCCTGCATCAAATGGTGGGAGTAGTCTTCATGGCATCAAGAGGCAATTGACAACTGCCTATACTCCACAGAAAAATGGACTATTAGAGAGAAATAATATAACTATGATGAATGTGATCTGAAGTATGATGACAAGTAGAAATGCTCTTAAGAGCTTTTGGCCTGAAGCAACTAAATGGGTAACATATGTAATCAGTAGAAGTCCAACATTATTTGTGAAGAACATGACTCCAGAAGAGGATTGAAGTGTGTAAAGCCCTCAGTGCATCACTTCAAGGTGTTTGGGTGCATAGCTTTTGTACACATTCCGGATGTGCACAAAAAGCTAGATGTCAAGAGTACAAAGTGTGTTCTCCTGGGAGTTAGTGAAGAATCAAAGGCTTAAAGCTCTATGAACCTGCGAATAACAAGGTCCTGATAAGCAAGGATATGGTTTTTGAAGAGTCAAAAAGTTGGGAATGGAACAAGCATGGCAAAGAATACAAGACTCAATCAACCAACAATGTCTGATATAGAAGAAGTAGACATGATGAGTGATGAAGTTGAAGTGATTAATTATGAAGTGCACGTTGAAAATGATGGCTTTTAGCATGAAGGAAACATTGTAAAACGTGTTACTGAAGAAGAAAATGATGCTCAAAGGCAAGAGCATACAGAGCCAACAATGAGTAAAAGAAGAAGGCCAGTGTACCTAAATGGCTATGATACAAACTCAGAAGGGGAGGAAAAAGACAAGTTACACAACTTAGTAGTGTTTTGTAGCAGCAATGATCCTTTTAATTATAATGAAGCAGTCAAGCATGAGAAGTGGAGGAAAACTATGGACTTGGAAATTGAAAGTATTGAGAAAAATGATACCTAGAGCCTATTCAATCTACCACCAAGAGCCAAGAAAGTTGGTGTCAAATAGATATAGAAAACAAAATGCAATGAAAAATGGAAAATAGAGAAATACAAAGCAAGGCTTGTGGCTATAGGGTACTCACAAGAACATGGTATAAATTACAATGAAGTTTTTGCTCCCGTGGTAAGATGGGATATTATCAGGACTATCTTAGCACTTGCAGCATGCAAGAAGTGACATGTATATCAGCTTGATGTCAAGAGTGCATTCCTGCATGGTGAGTTGATGAAGGATGTTTATGTAGATCAACCACTTGGATATGAGAAAGAATGAAGGCACTTTATGGCCTTAGGCAGGCTCTAAGGGCTTGGTATAACAAGATTGAAACATATTTCAATCAAGAGAATTTTGAAAAGTTCCCTCATAAAAATACATTATTTGTGAAACATAGTGAGGATAAGATATTGATTGTCATCTTGTATATAGATGGTCTAATCTACACTAATCAAAAATTGTTTGAAGGATTCAAGGAATTAATGAGGAAGATATTTTCCATGACATATATGGGGAAGATGAGACACTTTATTGGGGTGGAAGTAAAGCAAGAAAGTGCATGAATCTTCATCTGCCACCAGAAATATGACATTGAAATACTCACAAGATTTGGCATAGGTCAATGCAATCGGGTTTGTAATCCTATTATGCCAGGTTACAGTTTGAAAAAGGATGAAAATGGCAAGCCAGTTGATGGCACAAGCTATAAACAGATGGTGAAAAGCTTGATGTATTTGCTTGCTACTAGGCCTGACCTTGCCTATTCAATTAGCTTGGCAGCTAGATACATGAAGAGACCAATTGAAATTCACATGATAGCTGCAAAAAGAATCCTAAGGTATCTAAAGGGAACTATAAACATGAGAGTTTTGTACATGATGAATCATGAGATGGTCTTACAAGGGTGGCCAGATTCTGATTATGCAGGAGATAGCGATGACAGAAAAAATACTACAGGGTATGTGTTAAAGCTTGGATCATGTCCTATGTCATGGTCTTCAAAGAAGCAACTAATTGCAACTCATTCAAGCACTAAAGTTATGTTTGTTGCAACAACCTCATGTGCTTGTCAAGCAGTGTGACTCCAAAGCATTATTCACAAGCTTGGTTAGGCTCAAAGCCAAATTACAATCATCATGTGTGACACCAGTTCCACAATCAAGTTGTCAAAGAATCCGGTGATGCATGGAAGATGCAAGCATATGGATGCAAGGTTTCAC